AGGAATAGTGCTACTATTCGCTACAGTATCTTTATGGAACTATAAATTTTAAAACGCGAAGAGATTGAATGAGCACCATTTTTATAAGAAAAAGTCGGATAGTCACGGGATTAATCTTATTCGTGCATAGTTGTCCTTTAGAATAATCATGAAATCCTAATTATTTTAATCCTAATTTTGGAATTCACATGAGATTTTTGGGATTTTCGGGATTATCATGGGATTTTGGGGATTATCATGGGATTTTGGGGATTTTTATGGGATTTTTGGGATTTTTATGAGATTTTTGGGATTATCATGGGATTTTGGGATTTTTATTGGGATTCAAAATCCCGAAAATCCGCCGTTTCCCCCTTGGAGTAATGTCTAATGAATTTCTCGGAGAGGTACTCCCAAGTTCTCAGCAAATTTTTTTAAAATACATTTCCCAGGGTGTGGGTGTAAAAGTGTGTGTATGGCGGGGGGGGGGGGGGTGAGGTGTCGGTGGATGTGGGCGTTGTCTTCTCCTTACCAACAACCAAATCGACACCTACACCCAAGATATTGAAAGGGGCAGACTGTTCTTGCTCACGAAAGTATAGTACTTTTTAACCTTCCAGTCACCACCGCTGAACAACGAACGATCCGAAGCCGTCGTCATCGTGCAGCCTAAATATTTGAGTCAGCCGCCGCTGCGCATTAAAAACTAAATAAAAATATATGGCACCGTCGCCAGTCAGCACATCGGCTTACGCCTTTACACATAACTTGAAATAAAACTCAAAAGATGAAAGTAAAATCGATGTGCTTCTCAGTGGTCAGGCATACGGATAATATCGGGCGATTCTGTAGTAAGTAGATTGTTGAAAAAATTGATAATGATATGTCAAAGAAAGACGAACTTTTTTATATAAATGGTACAACATTCGGTAAATTTAACTGTCGAAAAAAGTCTCTTATTTGTTCACTGTTGTGTTGTTGCGAAAAATGGATTAATACAAAGATAATTTCTGGATGTTGTAAGACAAATCGTTGAAGATCATTCTAGAATTTATAATAAACATATTTTTTTTTGTTGCAATTAATTTTCTTACCCAGATAACATGTTTAACATCAGAAGCTCGCTCTGCATGCTGTTCATTATCAATAAATGAACATTCAACAATAATCAACGGAAACTGGAAAAGTTCAACGGAATATCTATCAAAGATAATCGGTGTTGTGTCACCCATGAAAGCAAATAATGGAAATAATCTAGCTTCAGAAAGTTCTAAATTATTATCGACTCGTCGCATGTTGACAATGTCTTGACTGGTCAAATGTTGATACTCTTTTTTTAATTTTTTCCGACATTCATAAAAACCATAACCACAACAAGGCACGGAATGATCCATATCAAATACACGAACTTTCATTGTTTTTCGAAATGACAATAAATCATCATGTTGAACACCGATTAATTCACAATCGAGTGTCAGTTTTTGCGGATCTATATCTATTCTACCAGCTGTTCGAAGAATGTGGCTTTTTTCAATGAAATCTTTCATAGGTTGTACAGCTGATATAGGAAGAAAAACTTGTGGTTATGGTTTTTATGAATGTC